GTTGAATCTTCCGAACCACAAACTCATTCAACAGGTTGATACTAGGTGGAATTCCACATATTATATGTTGGATCGTTATCTCGAACAGGAGGAGGCCATTAAAACAACTTTGTGCTTACTTGACAAAAACAGTTTGATAATACCAAATGACAAGACCTCACTCATTAAAGATGCTGTGTCAGTTTTAAAGCCTTTTGAAGTTGTTACTGTGGAAATGAGTGCCGAGAAGAACCTAGTAGCTTCAAAAATAACTCCAATAACACGGGCTTTGTAGAGGTTTTCATCAGCAGATCATACCACACTAGGTGTCGCAAATACCTCTGTATTTTAGGTACCTCTGTACCATCAGAAAGACTCTTTAGTAAAGCAGGAGAACTAATATCCCATAGAAGAAGCTCCATCAAACCAAAAAATGTTGACATTATGCTCTTTTTAAACAAAACAAGCGTAACAGGGTAAAAAATATTCCTATAATTGATTTCACCACCTTGCAAGTACAACTTGGTCATTATTAAGACTTATAGAGGTTCTCTCTACCTTATAAAGCTTTCAGAGAAGTCTTTAGACAGTATCTCTATGCTCTCTTGCTGTTAAAAAGCTCTTAACTTTGTCCCATGTGTAAGCCGCCATTTTGTTTGCCGTGACCACACCCACTCACGTAAAGGAGCGTGGGCGGGTGGTTGCTAAAGCTTTATAGAAGAAATGTAAGTGTGGACATACAAATAAGTTAATGTTAATTTGATGGGCGTGGTCAGTAAAATATCGAAATCTAGTATCGATATCATCGATATTCATCAAAATATCGATAAAATTATCTTATCGTTTTATATTTTGGATATCGCCAGCACTATTATTCATTGGTTGTTGTGATAAGTTTGTGTCGCGTGATCAGTAAATAGTTTGTTGTGGGAATGGGATGAAATGTCAAGATGGCCACTGGTGGATCAGGTTAGCTCTTGTCTCAGTATCAAGTGTTAGTGGTTGATTCACTTTATTTCACTTTACATTAGGAAGGGATACTAAATATTATGGATTGTTATTTTATGAGGAGAAAGGTTTAAATGAATATGTAGCAATATTTACTGTAGCTAAAGATATAGACACACTCTCTGATGTAAGTATATTATAATGAGGTATATTGTGTACATGATGTGTATTAATGTGTTTATTTACAGTATAAGAGAAGGAAGCACCCTGGAGCTAAGGAAGGTTCACTTATCTTCTTTAGATTTGTCCAGCATCAAGACTCTACACTTACCTCAAGAGGTGATTATATTGAATTAAAGTTCGATACTCCACAAGATAAATCAACCACTGATGGATGTACTATTAAACCTGACACAGTACCTTGTAGAGTAAGTACTAGTATCATGTACCGTATTCATATCTTTCCTGTGAATGATGTTGCCGATTTATAATGATATTCATTGGGATACCGTAAATAAAAAATTTTTCAGGCCACCATGGTGGAGGTATACTATCATTAGCTACAATGGACCGACAGGCTAAAAACTGTCAATTCTACTTCTCCACGCCACTCCAGTGGCTCTAAACAGTTGCAGACTACTGAAAAGAAATATAAAGGTTACAATTTTTTAACTTTTGAGACTATAACTGCTTGCTTTTCTTACAAAACGGCAGAAAGTTTATCGAGCTCCATTGGAAACAGTGCAGCAATACCTCCACAATGGCGGCCTGTAAATTTTCTAT